TGGTGTTAATGGATTTAAATTTCGTAGTATAAGAGAAACTAATGGTGATCCATCATTAGCTGTTGATGGTTTTGAAGAGCCGTTAGAATGGTCGAAGTGTGCTACCATTGATAATTATTTTGTTAAAAAACCTGTTTGGATGGTTGATTTAGGTCGACGAACAAATGTAGCTGGTGTTATGTTAAGAACATGGCATGAAAATAAAGGTAGTAACTAGAAAAATACATTGAATCAAAAGAAATTATTATTCATTTTGTTTTTATTGAAGAATCTAATACATCTTCAACAATTTATCGAAATTATCTAACAAATTTAGATCGATATAGTGTTTATGTTGATCATTATCCACGACGATATCGTTTTCAAAATAATAATTTATGTTCTTATATAACACGTACTGATCAAGCATTAACTTCATCATCTCGTTTACATTTTCAATGTCAACGTCCATTAGATGGTCGTTTTGTTTATATTGAAGCAGACGGTACTAGTAATCATTGGAATAAATTATTTACTGCTGTACTTTGTGAAGTGTTTGTATATGAGCAGTAGATTGAAAATTTATTCGTCTTGGTTTTTCTACAACATTCAATTGTCAGATTTTCATTGTGTTTGTCTTCTATTAGTATTTTATGTTTTGTTAAAACTAGATATAAATAAAAAGGATGAGTTGTGTTCTTTTTTTGATTAACTGATAATTTAACACGATGAAATGAATAGTGTCGACTAAATTGGTTTATACTGGAATAAGTATTCGATATCCAAAAAAGATGTATGAGTAAAATATCTATGTTTGCATGTTAGGAAGAAAGCATATGATTGAGTACCATCTTTCATTTTGATAGAATGATACTAATGATGTCTATCAGAGATTCACGACTCGACAAGTTAAAACACTTCGCTGGGAAGCTAGGAAAGGACGAGGCAGTGCGAGATTTGGTGAATCATCTCGTCAGTTTACGATGCAGTTTTTGCTGAATATGTATTATACTAGACTCAAAAAACAAAATACAAAAAAAGGTAATAATATCGAAATGAAAACCTATGATTTATATGATTCCACTAGGAAACGAAGAATAAATAGTAATTCAAAGAATAATTTAGTATCTAGTTGCAATGAAACACATTTATATGTTATCGAAATTCAAAAGCTTTTTCAAGCTTCTGGTGAACACGTCTATCATCGGGAAACAATAATAAAAATAACCAAAAATGAAGAACTATTAATGTATTTAGATCTAACCAAATAATTTAACAAATAGTGTTATTGAATAAAGAGAGAGGATGTGGTGGGTGTGGCTCGATGAGGGTGAGTGTGATTGAAACAATAATCACACCCACACCCTTTTTGTTCAAATTGTACATCTTTGCTACTCTTGTTTTATATGTAAATCTTCTTCAACGCTGAACCTTCTTCTTATTTTAAACATGAAGCGTGTTCTTCTTTTAAACGTAAATCTTCATTACATTCTAAATATGAAGCTTGTTCTTCTTCGAGAGTTATAACGACGAGTGTGACTTGTTTTCAGAGTTTGTTTCAAAGAGAGGTACAAGGCAATTAACTCAAAGTCTTTTTCGAGAATCTTTCAATCAATTAAAATTTTTACCTTAGTTTAGTTGATTGACTCAAGCATATTAAGCAAGAATTACATAATTTTATTCAGTTGAACGTTCCCTATTGAGCTCACATATTCGTGTTAAAATTTATCAGTGTAGCTTGTTCCGGTGCTAAAATGTGAAACTCACAAACTCTGATTGTGATAACTTTATAGTTTATTGCTAAAGGTCTTAAAATAATTCATTCAGAATCAATACCAAAGACATGTATAAACTAAATATATAAAAAATTAAGTGTTTGAGAGGCGCGCTCTGAAATTTTATCATTTTGAAAATATTCGCATTTTTAATTACTTTTCTATCAATTTACTCGATTCATTTAGCGCGGTTATATATCGGAAAAACTTACCGTCGATTCAACGACCATATTAGCTTGCTATACATATTGATTTGATCGTTCAGTGAGCTACCGCACACCTTATACTTTCTCTCGATGAATTTTAACATAATTGGTTGCGTTTTGCTTAAAATGAAAGTTTAAGTAATTCATATTTTTTCTATGGTCGTTTTATTCTCATTCTAATGAATCAAAAATACAACCGCCTTATTGAGTGACACTCATGATAAAATCCTTTTGCTGCACAAAAAATGAAAACCCATAATATTTAGATTAAATAGTTACAATCTACATGCATTTAGAATGATCTGAGCCCTAATACCTCCTCCAATTGCTAAGGTCTGTAATAGGCGAACCATAGGGAAAATAGGAAGCCATAAAACCTTGATTTGAAAGTTACACATACGATTTTCTTCGAAACTATATGTGAGTTCCACAAAAACTATTTTTTTCTTAGTAGACATCATAGAAAAACACCAATCCGCCTCATTCGAAATAATTTAATAGTGCTCGACATCAACACTGTCTTTATGCGTTCCATCGAGGTTAGCAGGAAATATCTTCAAATCCTTTTTCTTCTCTGTAAGTAAAAATCAAAGAAAAACAAGGTTTTCTTGCATTACTAGTGCGGACTGCGGCCTGAACAGTTAAAATTATCTCATGCAATGGTCGTCGATTTCAGTTTAATAGCGCATTGTGAGAAAAAAATTTCAAATACATTTTTCGCCAAATCTCAAACGGCATAGATTCACCTTCTATTATGACATCTTCACTCAAGTAAAAGAGTTTAAACTTTAGGTATGAACGACTCTATTTGCTTTGGTATGAAAATACTGATGAGACTCGTGCATCCCACCGATACTTACACTGTATCAACCAACTTGGCAAAAATAAAATAATTCTTAACGTATTACATGCTAGGAAAATATTGTCTCTTGACTGTATTGATAAGCAAGTATTGTTACATAGCAAAGTCTATAGACTCTTGTGAGTATATATTGCAGATATTTAATGAAAATAGATCCCCGATGTTAGCAACTATTTACAATGAAATACGATAGAAAATGATCATCGTTCATTAAACTTTTTACAGTTGTCGTATACGATGTCTTATGATATTAGCTAAACAGCGTTACAGCCACCGTATTGTTATGCTATTCTTTACCAACAAGTAACGTTGATCAACATTGAATATTGATTCACTGAGTCCTAGACTGACAGAATGATGACAAAGATGTCCTTATATTTTTACATAAAACTTAATTCTGTACAACGCTGACTTTAGGAGAAATTATTATTATTTGTAACATATTCTATATTACATACTATAGATATATTCAAACAGTTGACATAAAATATTGAAAGATGCTAATGTATATGATAAAGTTTCTGCTTTAGTTGATTATAACGAATAAAAATGATGATTTATGCCATAGAAATGTTCGTTTCTACCACGGACATGGCCAATTGTGACACAAAAAATGCTCATTTGTGCCATAAGAATGGTCAACTGTGTCATAGAAATGGTAAATTGAGCCCTCAAAACAGTCATTTGTATCATGAAAGTGGCCAATTGTGTCACCGAAAAGGTCATTTGTGCCAAGTCCTTATTACAGACAGACAGACACAGGTGAATTCCGGTTTCTAGACCCTAGCCTTTCAGTCTAGAGAATAATTCGCTACAGTTCTTGTTTACGATTGCTGTCAACGATCACCGCAAACAGCAGTCGTTAATAGTTTTGCAAAAAAAAATGTTAATTTAAAAAAGTGATAAACAACTTGTTTATTATTATATAAAGAGAATGATTTTTTTTAACGGCCACCGTTTCCCTTTATTTTCTGTACCGGAGAATGCATATTGGCTATGAGTTTCTCGAAAAGAACACGACGAAGATGCAAATTGAAAATTTATGACGATAGGATGGTATGATTCACCTTTATCACAAGAACGCAAAATAAGTGATGAATCATCATTCAGACTGAAGGGCATGCATAGTCTGATTCACTAACAGAGTGTGTTGAGTCTTGCTCTTGATTCTCCTCGCATCAGAACAGAGAAACAAGAAACCCTACGGAATTTATTTTTCTCTTCCTCTTTTTATCCGCGCGCAAGGTTCTATATAAAATGCCATTCTTCAGTCTTTCTATCATTTCTTGATTTGAACTAGTAAACGACGTGCCACATTTTGTACATGGTAAAACATGCTTCTGATTCATTTTTCTTTCTTCAATTAATCTAAGAGCAAACTACATCCATTGTCAACATATATTTGACAATAGATTATCTTGTATAAAGTCACGAGTTATTCAGCAAAAGAAAAATATCGATTTTCGAGTTATTTTATCGTCGCCATAAAATGGATTATTTTGTCTTTCTTTCACTATTCATCATGACTCACCGTCATATGAAATTGCGATCTTAATTATTATTCTTAGAATTTTCTTTATTTCGTCATTTTTCAAGTTTCTTTTCATTTCTAGTCGCTCTCATCCGTTCTGGATCGATCAATCAAAATGAAAAGCAAAATTCCGGTCCGACGCACTGCCGTGCATTGTTCTTTCGTAATATTGTTGGTTTGGTTATGTCGACAAACAGTGACTAAAGTGGACATAATCGAATTAAAGCCTTATGGCATTGATTTATCCAACAATGTCGACAGTTATTCTTCTTCTGCATCTATTGATTCAACCAAAGCCAATCTCGGTCGTATATTCTTTCATCGTCTGATCCATGACAATGACTCATTCGAACTTATCAACGAAGAAAATCTGTGTTCATTAATCCATTTCTTCTTCCAACAGGCCACACTTAACAATCAATCAGTTCAATTTTTATCAGGTCAGTTGTGTGATAGTGAGCGTTTCCTACCGAAAACGAAGTTTACGCCATTCACAAAACACCTTTTCCATCCAACTATAAACAAGAGTGAAGAGCAGTGTGATAAAATCATGAAATTTTTTCACTACAGAATGAGAACTTTATCAAGAATCTATTTAAGGTACATTTGTTCTTTATGATTCGACTGGACGCCTTTTTCCTCGACTAATGATGGCCAAAAATATGCAACTTCACAGTGACGAACATCGTTCGGGTTATATTCTTCGCCTTCAACATTTTACTCTCGATGCAATATTATCGATATGGCAAAGACTTTTAGGTCGTCGATACTCGATTCCATTGCCTTTCATCTATTTACGCGGCGATGAATCATCCCATTTTCATGAACGTGGAACCAAGTACGAACGGTGGCATGATTATCCAGCTTAGTACGTATCGAAATCCATCATTTCGCTAACTTCTACATCATGTTGTGCCTGTTTTAGTGGCGCCGACATTCGGCATGGATGTCTACCAAATTATTTCGGTCATATCTTATTCGGTAAATTGAAAAGTTTGCCCAATCCAACTCATCCTCAATATCGAGGTGATCGCATCTACATAAAGCCCGAAGAATATGGATTACAACGATTTCCACATTATATTGCACGTAAGTATGCTGATTTCTTTCGATAGTATTGTTCTATAAGTTCGATATTCAGATGCCGGCCATTATCTGCGATCGGTATCACAAATGCTCTTGTGTCGATGGATTGATTGTTGGACTATGAACTTGTGTGTACGGGACGGAGTCTTTCACGAATGGACAGATCGCATCTGGATCAAAGAGTGGCAACATATATTGGGCACTTTGACTCAAGACGAATGGCATCAAATGCGAGCTCAAGCTTTATCGAATGGTATTCAAGAGATTTATCGACAGACGCTTCTGTTTCCATCGCACCCACATGTTGAAAATTTTCGCACAAAACTCGAACATCACTACGGCTCGGATGTCAGTGCACGTAAAGGCAATGAGATCATTCTGACAACGGAACAACTATTAAGCGTTCAATCTACATGTGATTCATCTGCAGATGATATTAATTCACTACTGTGATAATTCAACCGTTGATCAAACGTCAAGTGAATGTTTGGAAGTCAACAGTCGTTGAGTAAGCTACTCAACTGTAGCATCAGTAATATTCTGCCGTTTTAGTCAATTGAAGAAACATACTGTGCATTAATTCTTCGTCAACAGTGCAATGTCTGATACATATTTTGGTACATTTTCTCGAAATAACCTTTTTCTTCAGATTTCAAATCGTTTTGCTGTGATGAACATTTACTAAATAAAAAAATTCTTGTTCGATATTTAAAAAGAAATAATGCGACTCAATATTGATTAAATATGAATTTGTAAGCGCTTATGTTCGAAATTAAGTTTCGTTTAATGACATGCATGTAGGTACGTCAAATAACAACTTCATCACTTTGATGAGTTTGAGTTGAAATAGTTTACGCAAAATATTTTGAATAGCCACATGTTCTTAAAACGCTATACTAGGTTCATACAATGACTGAATACAATTAACATTCGTTAGTGCAAACACTGAAATATTAATTGATTGCAAAATTATCCTAATCAAGATTTCTTGATTAAATCGACTTATAATGGAACCTTTTGTACTGATCATCAAGAAGATTGACCAAGATTCGGGTGAAATGAAAGCTCTCACCACCAAACTAACAAATTTTAAATATTACATGCCCATAGCGTACCTAGAGCAAGTTACTTGAGTTTCAAGGTATGCGAAATTTATGTATAAAAATAAATCAGAAAAGATTTTCTCCACTATTATAAGGACAAAGCATAGTTTTGTTCGGATCGATTAGGGGTTTGTAGGAGTCTTCTTTCATATGACCCGAACAACAGCATGTTTTGTCCTTACAAAAGTGGAGACAACCTTTCCTGATTCATTTTTATATCTAAATTTTATATACCTTGAAACTCAAGTAACTTGCTCTAGGTACGCTATGGGCATGTAATATTTAAAATTTGTTAGTTTGGTGATGAGAGCTTTCATTTGACCCGAATATGGTCAATCTTTTTGATGATCAGTACAAAAGGCTCCATTGTTAGATTGTGTTCTATAACTAATATCATATTCTTACAATTAACAAATAAACAATATGACGCATTGTATCAATATTATCAATGTTTACTAGCATATCATGTCTAAAAGTTTAAAGGACATCACAAACATTGGCTCAAGCAATGGGTGGGTCAATCATAAAATGCTTTAGATACTTAAAAGTTTCAAAGATAATCAAGTTTATTGTATAAAAATTTGGAAGGCAAAGTTTTCCACAAATAAAACTTATAGAAATCATCTTATCTGATTCTACCAATTAAGTTTCACAGAGCAATTGAAATCTTCATAGATGTTAAATTTTAAAGATTGATATATCTCGTTTGAAGAATGCGTGGTTGTTTATCGAACACTACTGAATCATAGGTTATCGACAATGTCAATTCTGAATATGATCACAAAAACGATACGCATACATTCTTGTCCGTTGTTCTTCTGAAAACAGATCTCACAGACTGACAAATATTTTACTAAAACCCGTTTTGGACCTACTCAGACTGAAGTATATCAAATTGTTTAGAAAACAGTGAATTTTTCTGTTTTTCAAGAATGGTCTTTTAAGTAAAATGATATCATCTTGCAGGTTTTCACATCAAAATGTTGATATGTACTTATTATATGAATTAAAATGTATGTATGTTCTACACAAAAAACGATTTTCGATAGAATGTTTGTAAGTCTGAAGAACTGATTTTCTAGAAAACCTCTGACGAAAAAGTGATTGATTCGTTGACAATGTTTCATCATAAGATGCAATATAATCATGAACCATTAAATACTTCTTAATCCACGAAAAATGATCAATTTTGCCTTCAGTCCTCTATTCACTATCGTTTTTGAGTTATGGATGTTTTTGTTCCTTGTAGTATCTATATCAAACTTATGAAGAGAAAACAAACCCATTAAATTTAATGTTTTATCTTAAACTAACAAAGTCTTTTCAGGTCTTTTTTATTAGCGTTAAAAATAAACTCATGATTTCCTTTATTCTTGGTTACACATGTGACAAGACAACTTTCTTATCTTTGTCATCATAGACAATAGTCAAATAAAGTAAAACTCTTCACAATTCTCGAAAACGACTCATACACATGTTCGACTTCCTTTCACATAAAATTTATTTATATTAATTATTAATTTATTGTTTTTCTAAGCGTTGAGCAAGGATGGTATTTGAAAAGATCGTTGTAAATCTATTGGATAAATATTTAAGTAATTATATTGAAAATTTGGATTATAAAAAGCTTAAAGTGGATATATGGAGTGGTATGTATTATTTTATTTACTATAGGAAAAAAAACGATTGTTCTACAAATTATTTCTAGGCAATGTTATGCTAGAAAACCTTTATCTAAAACCAAATGCTCTTGTAAATTTTTTTCAAAATATTAAAATTCAATATTTTACATGTATATTAATTATAGGCTGATCTTCATCTTCCAGTAACTGTAACCATTGGATACCTTAGTAAGATTTATATATTTTAAATGTTTTGTTTTAGTTCTTATTTCATTTTAGAAAAACTGACACTTCAAGTTCCATGGAAAAATTTATATACACATCCAACAAAACTCACTATCGATGGACTCTATGTACATGTTATACCCAAAATTGGTTTGTTCTTTGTCGCATTCATTATCATCATTTACTATATTTATTAATAGAAATTGAATATAATGCTAAGCAAGATGAAAAAGAACAACATGAAGCTAAAATGAAAGAAGTTGATAAAATTGAAAATATTTATAAAGACAAAGAAGTTCCTCGTAAATTTTGAAAAAAAAAGACTCAACCATATAATTTCATTTTTCTTTTAAAGAGGATATAAAAAAGATTGAAAAAGATAATGATACATTTAGCGCAAGAGTGAAATTACAAATTATTCAAAATCTTGAATTATTAATTCGTAATATTCATATTGTTTATGAAGATAAAACAACTAAACCAAATCATCCATTTGCATTTGGTATCACACTTAATTACATTACATTTCAAGTAGGAAAAAAAAAATTTCAAAAAAGAAAAAGAACTTGAATGTATAATTTTATTTATTGCATATTTCTAGACAACTAACAAAGAATGGATACCAACAATAATCAAAGAGAATAGTCCAGTTATTTACAAAGTATGATTACGGATTGTCAGATATTCGTCAATATGACTTTCGTCAATACAAGTGTATCTTTATCATTGATTACACTGATATATATTGGCGTGGCCACGCATGACGGAATTTCACTTTTTCAAATCGCCACCTGTATAACGTCTTAGCAATAGAAGGAAGCTACCTGAAATTTTTATCACAACTAGAGCTCGCTTAAATCTATTATTAGTAAAAATTTCATTAATTTCTTTTCAACCGCAGCGAAGTTATTCAAAAAATAGTGACCGTTACGGAATTTCTAAAAATGGAAATTTATTTTAGGGTGACTACGAGTGAAACATTTTTATACGAAAGAGCGAACTATTCAAATGAATGCTACATTCAAAAGTTGTTCAACTTTTACCAAGGTATTAGAACATCAGGTCATTTCTGATTCATCTAAGCTTCATCAAATAAAAAAATTGGAATATCGCTCGTTACGAAATTTCATCTTTTTTGGAAGTTCAACAGGGAAATATTTGAGAACTTACCATTTCAAACTATAAAGATAAAGCTCATCTTTTTTCTGATACATGAGTAGTACAAAGACAGTTTTATCTTTCTAATATATTAGTTTTATTCTTGCAATGAAATCTCATAAGAATATCTAGCTATTTTTAAGACGAGATTGCACTGTGAAGAAATGAAAAGATATGCTCTTTTTGACGAAATTAGTCAATAAATCTCTTTTTCAATATCTGTCGGGCCAAAAAGGGGAGTTTACATAACTCCTTTTATAGCTTGCAACAAGTTTGGTAATCTGTTGATAGCACACTTTCGACTATCGAGACAGTATTCCTCACTTTGTGATTTTAAACCTTTCCCACACGAGGATGACCGATGCGTGGCCATGCCGATATATATATCAGTTATATTAATAGATGATATTCATCTATATCGTAATCGGATATAAATTTTACTTAAATAACATCCATAACGACATATACTACTATCCATTTAAAAAAAATGTCGACGATTGTTTCTTGAATAAGTTTTGATAGCAACGATGAAGAAAGAACCACTGTTGTCTATCGGTAGAGAAACGTCTTCTTATTCGATCTACCTAAACCTCAACTTCACGACCGATTTCATTCATGAGTTGCAAGGATTCTTCTAAGACATCTATTTCAACAGACCAACCTTGAAAAGCTCCAAAAGAGCTTCAAACTGGAATAATTCATCACGTTGAGTCAAAGGTTGATATTTGTTGTCAATTTCAAAGTGACCTGAGACCACTATGTGAATATTTGCAAAAGTGTGAATATCAAATATTGCTGTTTGACTTAGCATGATAAATTACCTCCACATGAACCCTTCTAATGTCAATATGCTGCAGTAGGAAGTCTCCAGAAAATCCTTGCAACTCTTACATGAAAGCCGCTACAAATTTGGATGTCCCCACGGTGGTTCTATCTTGAACGATGAAAACGCTCACTCGCTGCATTGTTCTTAGCAAAACTTATTTAAGAAACAACTGCCGGCATTCTTTTTTGAAATCAATAATAGTAAAAGAACTCACAAGTGTCAATCGCAACAAGCAAAGACAACAATTATTTAAAATACAAGTAGCTACAGCTTCTATTGAAACTGAAATATTATCGAGGTTTCAACAACAATTATCAGTTTTATAAATTGAATCTACATTTGAAGATAAAAACTTGCACAAAAACATTGATATCTCAATGATAAAATTTATTTGTTCATCAAATCTGATTTGATCGTCAGTGGTTGACCTTTGAAAGGGCAAAATGGTCGAAAAGCACTCTATAAAATCCAGACTACGAAGACATATTTGTTCACTATGTGAGATAATACGAACAGTCTAATAGAGACTATCGAAAATTCATGAGAAAAAAAAACAGTTTTCACCATAATCAAATACTTCAATTTTTTCTTTACTTGCAAGGTGACTATGACCATCATTCATTTTAAAAAATTAAAGAGTACTTTTTTGTGAATCAACAAAAGAAATAACTGAGGATGATAGTTGACCTATAACCGAGAGAAATCGGGTTCATGATGATAGACTTTTAATTGTATAGTAGTTAGTTTTCCAACGATTTTAGTTAGCCTCTTCAAGGCATTATTCGTCACTGTTACTACTAGGTGAAGATATAAACCAATAGAATAATGAGTAAAGCAATAATACACTATAGATTTTTGAAGTCAGCGTTTGCACTGGATATATCACTTGTTTTTCATAGTGTTTGTTTTCAATACTTTTCTTTTCAACCTTTATACATCACAACTGGTCAATAAAAAAAAAATAACCTAGTTCAAGTAATACGAGCTGTTTCATGCCAGAAAATGCGAAAAGGTGATAGGAGCTGGGAAGTAGAGATTCAGTGATCAGATTCGACAGCGGGATTCTTTTTTAGTTTCCGTCTGAGTCAGCTTTTGGATCTGATCACCAGATATCTGCTTCCAAATCTATACAACTTTCCCGAGTTTTCCAACGGGAATCTATTGGAAGTTTACAGATCCAAGAGTCAGAATCATTGACTTTGGAACTCAATAGAGAACAAATAAAAAAAACAATTATCTCATTTCCATACCCTCCAATTCTTTTCTTCTTTATTGAACTATTTTTAACCTCAAAGTTAATTTGGTTATATCCGAATATATGCCAACTGCAAGCAACAAGATATATTTCAATAAGATTAGATATAGTTCTCACATGTATGCTGTATCTGTAGTGTCTACGACAATTGGTGAAAGTCTTATTGGCGAGGAACAGGAACCGCATTTTTTAAAGTATACTAATAAAGACTTTCTTTTTGGATTTCTAGCTTGGCGAGTTGAATGCTTTATCAATTTATTGGAATACAAATATTAAATCAAATTCAAATTTACCAAGAAATGAAATCATTGTAGGTTAATCTATTTCATATTTGCAAAAACTATTTTCAATTTAGAAAAATTTACAAACAAAAATTGCGATTAATAATGATCAAGCGCCGAAAGATATGGCATATAGTTAGTTTATGAACGTTAGATTTAATTTCTTTACCGAAGATATAATTTTTGTTTTCAGTCTTTCAACCATTCAATGTTAAAACCAAATTAATCATAACAATGAAACCTCGTCAACAAAAATTCGAAAGGCCTATGTTTTATATAACCATCGATGTAGGACATATTAGTATAAATTTAAATCGTGCTCAGGTTAATTTAATAGAAAATGAAAAAGAAAAAAATCTTTTTATTTTATTATTAGTATTTGGATATACTTGATTTACTTGAATTTCAAGATCATATGACTGCGAAATTGAAGTATATTAAATATCGACCTAAGAAATTCGATAAAACAATACAAAAGTATTATATTTTAATACAGTATGAATATTTGAAAAATACTATTTGATTCATTTAGATGGATATTTGCATATAATGCCATTGTGGAAGAGAAAATTAAACCTCGTTTAGCATGTTATAAATGGGAAAACATAAAAAAACATGTAGAAAATTGTCGAGAATATCGTTATATTTATGTGCAAGGACTTACAGGAAAAATAACTAATGAACAAAAACAATACGCTGAAGTAAGATACATCATTTTGTTCATTTCTTCTTTATTTTTTTGTGTCTTATCACGAATTACGTGTTAAAAATTTTAGGAGTTAGAGAAAAAACTCGATGTATTCAATTTAACATACATTCGTCAACGTGCTCAACTTGAAGTTTGTCTTCTTTTATTAAATATCTATCTAGTTTTCAGAAAAAAAAAGCATCTTTTCTTTTTCAGGCAAGAAAGAAAAAACAACAAGAGCCAAAGACATTATTGAAGAATTTTTCCAACTGGTGGAGAAAAAAGTCAAGTCAAACTGATCCAGGTTAGAAATCGACCAAATCGAATTAATCTCGGTTAACATTTTGTGAAACATTATCTTAATGGAGTATGTAGACGTATAGGAAAAACTTTTGAACGTCTTTCGCTCCCTCCCCATAAACAGTGGCAGACAACTTGGCAACAATCCATCCCTCCTCGCAATGTGTATTTCGACGGACATTTGGCTCAAAATGAAAATCGCACTTCTGCAAGATTTAAATATAGGGCAATATACTTCGAAATATATTCTAACTAATGATAAAGATAACTTTTGTTCTCCACAGCGTTCATCGGAAGGGCTAGTGCCGTAAAATGAGTAATCCATCTACATGCAATCTTCAAACTTTTCTAAAATGTGCCAGAGTCTTCTTCTATTTACTATCTCTTATCTCTATTAACACAAGCTTAATTGCACTGCAAAGTGGGTTTTCAAAAAAACTCAGATTTTCAGATATTTTTTTGGTTTTTTTAACTTTGAAAAAACATTTAATCGACAAAAATATTATACTCAGAATCAGCGTATTAAACTACGAAGAGCGATATAAAACACAGCATAACTTCGGAAAGAAAAATGTTCTCCAAAAACTTAGGATAAAGATCTGCATGTCATGCAAAAACTGCACAGTGTGCTTCCTCTTATCCTACGTCATACACTGTAACAAATACTGATATAGAATCAAAGACCGTATATCAATAACGTTTTGTTCTTACTTTCATATTGCATTTCTGAAGAATTAAGTAAAAGAATGTTGAAGAAATGTATCTCAAAATAGTGAGAATAAAACAATCTTCCTGTGGTAGTTAGCAACAACACCGGTATCGTGTTTCACATTTTTATCCGATTGAGATTGCGCTAACACCTTTTTTATATTAAAATGATTTATGAACAAATAATGCAAAGATACAGAACTTTGGTATATTTTTACTTGCTTTAATTTAGTTTCGATCAATCTTCGTATAAAATATTTCCCACGAAGAAACAATCTCAACTATGCGTTGTACTTGATTTTTGCCGTGTATGCAAAGACTAGCTGAGAACCTAAATGATCAAATTTCTAGCTAAAATTTTGTTCCTAGATCGACCTTGTACTTGCTAGCTAGAAACACTGAAAACTGTGAATCAACACGAAGCTTACCTTGCTAAGGTATTTATATTTTAAGGAAACATCTGTTTCGAGCTGTTTCTTGTGACTGTTAGGTCTATCTATGATCGATATTTTAGCTCGGAATTCAATTGTAAAAGTTCTCCACGATTCTATGCTCATAGGACAGAAATGGGGTAAAGTGCTGATAACTTGACAAACAAGAAATCAGAAAGTAAAACTCAAATAGATTTTTTTGCGCACTCATTATGATTAATCGAATGGCAATCGTCTCAAGTGAGAAGCGATTGACTGTTAGAAACGTTTCCTTGTCAACTGATTGAATAGATCGGCAAAGAGTCAGTTGTAAAAATATCAAGTTTTCAAACTAAAGTTCTTGTCTATATTCTAATATGGACATAATATATTTCAGTACATTCATTTGAAAAGGAAGCTGATCATTTCTATTATAATGTGCTTTTTCATAGAACTTGACCTTGAAACAATGTTGTCAGCTGAAGAAAAGAAAAAATTATACGAAACTATCGGCTATGAAGGTGAAGATACATCAACGTTGACTTATCCCAAAGATGTAAGTATTATATTATTAATTCTTGTTATATATTCGTATCGTATTTATAAAATAGTATGTCGATATTGATCTTTCAATTCGATTGATTATGCTCGATTTAAATATTTGGTCAAAAGTCAATGAAAATGATCAAGAGTATGTTTAATAAATGAAATATGTTTTCAAAAGATTATTCTATTTTAATTTCAGATTCAGAGTTATTAGTCGTGCTGCTGTACCTGATACAGAAATAATATTTAAACGACGCCCGGCAACTTCTTCTGCTTTGTAAATCATTATATTATTATCTTAATTTTTGAAAATTATTTTTGCCTTTAGATTTCTTGCTAGTTTAAGGTCATTTCAAGTGTTCGGTATTGCTACCGATTTGAAACAATCAGAATCATCAAATTATAGTCGCCCTGTTCTTGTTTATCCAATTATTCAATCAAAGTCATCAAATAATCAATCAGCGCAACCAAAATTATTAGAAATTGAATTTGAAACCAATCCATTAGATAGAGACTCCGGCTATCGTGTGAAAGTCGTATCACAACCACTTGAAATTATATACAATACCGTAAATATTTAAATCTTTTAAGAAATATCAAATTATGACAATATATATTTTATTATCATAGCCAACTATCAATAAACTTATCGAATGTTTTGAACAGGATACTCGATACAATCTGCAAGGGTAAAATTCAAATATGAAATGTTTTTTTTCGAATCATTGTCTACTTATAGGGTTAAACAAGCAGCTTATACAACATACACAGATGTTAAACATCAATCTGTATTATTTATGAAATATAATATAGAAACAACAAAAGTACTCGATATTCACATTGATATACAATCGCCTTATTTTCTTTTGCCTGAAAATGGTGTCTACTATTAGTAAGTCTTGGTTTTTATTTTTTTTGCAAGGTTTCAGCTTATAATTTTCTTTCAGTGGTTGTCCAGCTCTTTGTTTGGATATGGGTCATTTAGTTTTGCAACAAAGCAGTATTACCAATAAAAATGACGAAGAAGCAATGGTAAAATTGTAACTCTTGAATTTAATTCTTCCATTTCATTCGATGTTTTTTCCGTTAGGACAATTACATTCAATTTCAATTGGAATTAAAAAATTTTCAATTACTCTATGCTAATAAATGTAAATTGTGCTTTTTTTGCCTTCTTGGAATAGATAAAACTATTCTCTAATTGTTCAGATGAAAATTGGCAAAATGCACGTCAACAAGAAGCTACTCATTTACATTTAATTAAACCAATAACACTCAATATAAATCTTTTTAAATGTCTTTATTCGAACAATGTCAATTTTCCTGCGTATGTATTTTTTAAAATAATTTTATTTTTATTTCCATGGTTTTTCAGTTGGAAGATTTCTGGACAAATTCCAACTGTAAATGTGCGAATTTCGGATATGCGTTTATTTAAAATTATAAAACATATTCAATCACTTTCATTTCCACAATCGAATCGTCAAACGATAACAAACACACAAAATAAAACTGAGCTATGGACGATGACGCCTCTGGTTGATATTACTCAACAAACATTAGAAACGATTGAAAATATCACATCTATGAAAAAGGCTCTGGAAACATTAGCTGATGAAAATCAAGAAATTCAAAACAAAATCGAAGAACAATTTACACAAATCGAAGCTAATTTTAAAATTTCACAAGTAACAACTAAGACGCGCATTCTTGAGATTTCCAAGTATACGAAGCACTCGATTTTACCATTATCATATCTTTATGAGAAAAAAAAAACAAAAAATATCCTGTAAAAGTTGAACTCGTTATTATTTCAATGAATCATTCAAATTTTTCATGAGTTATACTAGAACATAGAGAATAAAAAACTGAACAAAATTAGCTATTTATAATGTCAACCGACACGAATTTTATAAGGCCAACATGAATGAAAAACGGTTCTTTCGACACGTCTAAAATACTCATTCGATAACAATCTATCTCCTACTCGGATTCAGAACTATAGAGCTTGAAGTTAAGTTTGATATATGTTATGAAACTTTTTATTTTCTATAAAATGGTTGAGAAATATTCAAAAAACAATAGTATCTTCGGAATGCAACGAGATTCATAGCTTTCTTCCACGAATCAATGTTTCAATAGAAAAACAAACTTTTAGCGATTGGCATTGCCATACGATCATTATGAAACAAAATAAATATGACATTCGAAATTAGTGTGAATAACTACATTAGATGCAATACAGTTCAGAGAATTCTTTCATTATGAAAAATTTATCTCTGGTCTCCAACAGCTGTATTTTATCGAAACTCGGATAAGAAATTTTCTAGATGTTAGTTTATCGTAGACAAATAGTTCCTTAAAAAAATACTTGATTCCATGTAGGTTGTCATGCTGCTTTGAAATGTCGTATTTATTTTGCTTTATGATTGTGTTGTGATAATGAAAAACCGCTAAAAATTGTCTTTTTTTCTATTGAAAAAAGCATTATATAGAAGACAAGTGTGAATCCTCTTTCGCCTAGAAGATATTATTTTGTAGAGAATGAAAAGCTACGTAACATGTGTAAAATTCAGTTTAGAATCTTCTGATTTTGAATCCTAGCAGAAGATAAATGGCTGTTAAACGAACAAGTTACACTTCCCAAATAAAACCATTTTTTTATTCATGTTGGTCTTACAAAATTTGAGTCGATCGACATTATATTATATTAAGAAAACTTAGTACAACTCTCACAAGGGGTTTTTCGCTATTTTACCTCAAGAGAATATGATAGTGGAAAAAAGTCAACATTGACTACCATTTCAAAGAAAGGGTATCGGAAGCTAAAAGTTTCAGATTGGTAGTTTCGATCATTAATGCATTGAATGCACAAAAATTGTTTTTTATTGAGTGCTTCTTATACTCGATGACCTCATGATTCCTTTTTTTTTAATAATATATCGAAAAAATTTATTTCCATGTTTTAGATCGATCTTCTTCTGGAAGAAGAAAAGGAAGATGAAGACTATCCATTTCTTCGTATTTCATTTGTATCAATCTGTGCACAAACATTGGTAAAAACATTTGATATAGAATTCCAGGCATCATTAGATGATTTCACTATTTATCATGAACAATTCATAACAAAAGATAATCATCAGCTTCGTTTTCTTGCTGCTCAACATGAAGAAAATCAAATTATTGATAAAACAAATTCAAAGAAACTAGTTAGTATACATATTTTACATACATCATCAGATAATCCATTATTTACGTCATCGAAATATGATGAACTTGAAAATAAAGTTCGAATACATTTGAGTAAACTTATTGTCACATTACAATTAGAAGCATTATTATCCATCATGAAATTTCAAGATAATATCATGCAAAAATGGCCAACAGATATTTTTGAACAACAAATTAAGAAAACACAATTATCTCGAAAAGTATTTGAAGATAATAGAACAATGTCGACTATTGAAAAATTTGTTAAAACAAATCGTAAGAATTTTCTTTTAAATGTCAGATTGATTTTCTTTTCTGTTCAAGGTTCATCGTCCGCAAGTACACTTACAATCGAAGCCAATCTAGAAGAATTTCATATAGTTATTGCAACTGTCGATACTCAAATGTTCGATGTTTATGTTCATGGTTTGACTTTTTTCTAATTTTTTTTATGATATCTTTCTTTTGTATAAAGGTGTCCAAGCTAATGTGCATAATAGCTCTAGTGAAACATTGGTTAACTTAATTCTTACCGATTTTTATATGTTCGATCCTCATATGGATGCACGATTTCGAAAGGTAAAGTTTCAACGTAATCTAAAAGTGAAGATTTACAATTCAATCTGTTTCATCTCGGAATTCAAATCAATTGATCCTAATATAGATGTAACAAAAGCTTTCAGTGCAATCCCTGCAGGGTTCTATCTATTTTTTGGCACACTTCTTCACTATTCTTTTTGACTGAATCCTTCAGAAATGCAATAAGTAATTTGTATACTTACGAAGAGATGTTATTAGTATACGGTCTGTGATCGTATATCAACAACCACTGTCATAGCCTGTGACAGGAGCGGAGACGGAAGCAAGGAGAGTATTGCTAAAGTGTCTGTCATGGTCTCTGGGGAAAAGTATAAAATTCAACCCTATGTACTTCAGCACTTCGTTCAAATCATGTTTCACAGAAAAAAAGCATTGCATTGAATGGATAGAGAACTATATTTAAAACTATAACATTGAAAATTCCTTCTGTTGAAGTTTCGCAGCTTATACTTTTTATGATAAATAATACATTTCATTTGAAAAAGAGCATCCATAACCAAGATGCTAGAAGAAGAAGAAAACTCATTTGGACTCAATAGTACAGTGTTGTTCAAGATTTATAGGATGGTCATTATTGGTAATTCATTTTTGTCGTTGTTTTCTGTTCCTTTTTGATATCGTACTCAGAAGATGTCAAATGATTCTTTGATCAGTTAGACATACTTGTATTTTGTTTAGATCATTTCGCAACAAAGTGGAGACAATGAATTACTATCAGTTTCTATGATTCTATTTAACTATCCTAAAAGGCATACAAAAGCTCTTGATGAAGTTGATTGTAGTGTCAGAATAAAATTTGCCAAGGCGAACATATTATTTCTTTATAAATACATTGATCAAATAATGGTATGTTGTCAAAAATATTCGGAATTTTTGTATCTAATCAACGATCATATAGGAATTTATTGACACACTGAATATCTCAAATGCAGCACTTGACCTTACTCAATATCAAGCTAATGCTATTTATGAACAAGTACAAAATTTACAAAATCAAGCATTTAAACTACGTCTAAATGCTACGTTTAATGCACCAAATATAATTGTTCCAATAAATGCCTCTTCTGACGAAGCATTATTTCTTGATTTAGGAAAATTAATACTAGAAACAAAATTTATTGATGATCCAAACACATTACTTGTTGAGCAACAGCAAGTTAACATTGAAAATGTTCGTGCTAGTCGAGTTAAACTGAATAAAAATAATGAAATACAAAGTGAAATAATTCTACTCGAATGTGCAAAATTAAAAATAGATGTGAATAGACTATTATATCCTGAAAAAATAAAAACTACACCCTATATTTCGCTTACAATGCAATGGGATTTAATTCATGTAAGTTATTTAATAATTATAATTGAAAACATTTGCTTCTTTCAGTTTCAATTAGCTAAAGATGATTATTTATGTGTAATGAAAATTTTGATGGAAAATTTTCAAGAGCAAACAATAACGAATGTTATTCGTGAACAATATCATTATGGACAAGAACAACAAAAACAAGAAGAAGATGCTTTACGAAATGCTGCTGTTAAAAAACAAAAAGGTTTGATTATTCTTATAGTGAGAAATTAAACATATTTTTTCGATTATAAAACTATTTACTTTTCATCAGTCTATAATTGCGAAAAAAAACAGAAAATATAATGTAAACATATTTATTGTTTTTTTTTCAGAATGGCAGATTGGTAAGATATTTGAAAGCATTAAAGTTCATGCCGAAATCCAAAAACTTGCACTTACACTTTATCTTGGTGAATCAAATTTGGTTGGTTTTTCTTCGCATTTTTTCTCATTTACTTCATTCTTATATTAAATATAGGTTAGTCGTCATGTAAAACATGAAGAAAATTTGAAATTAGCTAATGTACAAATCGATGTATTCGAAGTTATCTTTCGACAACATTCAGATTCAAGTTATAAAGTCATAGCACGTGTAAAAAACTTTCTATTCGATGATCTACGAGAAACTCATAAAGCAGATGCTGTTATACATATGATAGATCGACATTTTACTGTTGATCCAAATTTGTACATGCTTATAGCTAGTTTAGAGTTTAAACCAAAAGATCAAACACGTTTAAAAGCTCAACAAAGAAGTAAATAAATTTCATAAATCATTAGTAAAAAAAATTTTGCGATTTGTCATTATAGTGAATGTTCAATTGGAAAGTCTTTATATTTGTATTAAATTAGATTATTTGATGATATTAACAGATTTTTTCATGTCAAACTTGCCGATAAATGATACAAATAAATCGAAAAATCAAGCAATAGCAATGACGAAATCTAATGATATTCTTCAAACGAAGAAAATATCTACACAATATGAATCGAATCATAGTCATACTACAATGGCGACTTCTACATTATCCTCGATTGAAGCTACTAATACTGATGTTGAAACTAGAGTTGATATTCTTCTTAAAAATCCTGAAATTATCCTACTCGAAGATCAACATAATTCTAATTCAAATTGTCTTGTACTCAATGTAAGATAAATCATAATCAGAAACAAAAAGAAATATTCTATTTAAATTTTAGTTTGCTCTTACTATGCGTGCGGTTAACATTGGAGATGATATGAAAATATTTAGTACATTAAATGATTTAACTATCTATAGTTCGAATTTTGCTGAATTGAAATCTTCAAAAGTTAAATATCGAGTAAAAAATATGGAGGAATGTCTTGTTGTTTATTTTTTGAGTCTTATTATTTCTTAGATTTTACAACCAGCCAAAGTCGATGTAACAATAATGATCGATGCAGAACAACAAAAAGTTGATGTTCGTTTTTCACATATTATTATTAATATTACACCAGCTGCTGTTCGCATACTTATTAGTGTTACTAGTTCATTAAGTAAACATCAAGTATATATATATTGTTTATGATTATTACAATTATAATTAAAACTTTCGTATGTATTGTTTAGCCAACAAAAAAACAAGAAAAATTCGATGTTCAAACAATGTTTAATCCAAAATCAATTACCGAATCTAATTTTTGGTATTTGACAGGTAGAATTTCATTTAACTTTTTTTTAATATTGTAAATTCACGGTCATGTTCAGAAGACAGAAATTATGTTCTATCACAGAAAGATTCTCTTGTTGAAAATAAGAAGAAGAAAGGAAAAAATTGTCTTTTTCAACAGGTATGTCGACAATTTATCCAAATTGCTTTGTTTAAAGTGTTTTGTCTTTCATTCAATTAGCTTATTTTAACATTAACAACTATGGAAATAAAACTTAATGTTGGTTTTGGTTCGATAACGAAATCAGTTGGTGCTATGTGTCTATCAGATTGGACAGTTGATCTTAAAAATTGGTCCGATCAGGTTTGATGATCCTTGTCGAGGTTTTTGTATTATATATATTTTTTTAAATCTGTTTCAGATGACTGCTTCATTGACAATGAATATTGAAGCAGCTTTATACAACAAACATACTCTTGCATGGGAACCTCTTATTGAACCGACACTTGATAAAAATAAAGCACGTCTTATACCATGGCATATCACATGTTCAATTACACCTGTAAGTCCTAGAATCTTTTCATTTTTTTCATATCAAATAATATTATACAAATTAATTTTCCATTTTTAATTTATCTTTATTTAAAAATATCTATCTGAAATATTTATATGAAATATGAAATTAAAAATAGTCCAATTTTTATTTCATAATATATTGTTTAGATATTTCCGATTTCTGATCGTGTTGAATCATCATCATCAGCATCGACAAATATAAAACAACAACAAAACAAAGTTTCTGGTCTCAATGCTAAACAATTAATTTCAATTAGAGCTCACCAATTATTAAATATAACTATAACAAAAACAGGTCTTGAACTTATTGAACATTTATCATCTTTATTTAATGATATTTATAATCAACGTTTACCAAAAAATATCGATGATAATGAACCAATGTTATCATTAGTAAATTTAACAGGACAAAATTTGTTTATTGATAATCTAAACGGTCTTCAAGTAATTTTATTTTCAAAAATGAAAAAACTTTGATTTAATTTTTTTTTTATCTGTTTAATATTCTTAAGTTTGCTGATAACATTACATGGACTTCAAAAGTTATCCAACAAAATGAATCGATTCCATTAAATGCATTCTATGAACGATTGTCAGAAACTTATCGTCTTTCTGTTATTGAAGAACAAACTTCTCAAAATCGACAAGAATTTTCTGTTCAAGTAAATTATTATTTATATTTCTTTATTTATTTTAATATAAAATTTAGAATGATAACAATATTAAATTAATAAATATTAATCGAACATGGCAACGTATATATGATTTACAACTATCAGCTGCTTCATTGTTTCCTATTCAATTACTTTGTGATACTCAAATACATAATAATTGTCGACGTATTATTCTTAGTTCTGTTGTTAAAGTTTGTTATTTTATAAAGTTTTAAAACGATAATTATTGTTATTTTATTTAAGGTATACAATAATACAACAGTACCAATAGTTATCCTAGATGTTGATTCAAATACAAGAAACTTCTATCATCGAATTGAAATTAATGAATATTATTATGTTCCTATTGATCTTCTGTATAAAAAATTGAATTTACCGATTATTATTGGTGTTGATGAGTAAGAAAAAAAGAGTAGAGACTACTGGATCAACATTTCAAGAACAAGATATTTTTAATTACTTTTTTCTTTGATTTTAATGAAGCAACTATCCTAACTGATGCCAATCGTTTAAGCACATATTGAGTTCAAAAGGAGATCTCGAAAAGACTAGAAAAATCTTACAAGATTTTCGCATTCATAGACTTGTAAAAGCGAGTTATGACTGCTTGAGCAAACTTTCCTTTCATTTTTAGAAATTAACTGAAAATTTTAATAATGAGATTGCAAACCTATAATTTGGTCGATGGATAGGCCTAATGATTCTTGATATATCCTGAAGGTGTCAGTCGAAAAGAATATTCCTTTATCGAGATATTGATTTATGTGACAAGTGACTATTTCTGGGAAACTCTCAATATCCCGACAAAGGAATTCTTTTTTTCAGTTGAAATTTTGAAAATACTCTAAAAGTTGTTAGAACTATCTATAGATCGAATTTCAAATCAACGTTCTATTACTTGATGTTCAATAAATACCTAAAAATGAATCGAAAACTCAGTAAAACGATCATAACTCGGCTTCATGCACACGAAGCTTTCTCTATTCCTACCGAGAATTCCTTTCAGTCTTACTATGAGTTCAGACAGCAGATATCAATTCACGTAGTTCTCATGCGAGTATTTAACTCAATGAGATTAGGACTTTTGAACAATTGAGAACAGAAGTTTTCAAATCGTCAATTGCTCATGAGAAACTAATCTTATCTGAAATAATACAAAATTGTGAATAAGTGTTAGCTGCGATATCTATGTGCTATGACCAAGAACAAGTTTTGGAAGAAGCTCAGTCTGCTCTAACCATATGTCTAGAGAAGGTCCCAACAAAACTTAAATGGACGTGGAAGAAGTGGGGTTCGTCAGGTTACGCTACTACGATAGTTTTTTCTTTAAAAAGTAACATGCATCACTAAACATGAAAAAATACGTAACTTTTAGTTCTGTGATCGAAGATCTTCCGTTTACGGGTGTTCAAACACTCTTTCCTCATTATTAATCTATCAAATCTTGTTAAAGAAGGTATTTGATAAAAAATTTCATTGAATATTCATATTACTATTTGGATTTGGATTTAAACTGAATATTCAACATAAAAGATAAAAATATCTTGTTTGCAATAATTTCGATCTGGAACTCTATATGCATATATAATTTTATAGAAATGATCATAATGGATCAATCAGTGACTTTTTTGAATTCTACTGGATAGCGAAAATATTTGAAGAAAAAGCAATACAGTTACAGAATGGCACAAAGATCCATTTGATTGTATATGTCATAGTCTTCAGAAAAAATCTTCTTTCTATTCTAATTTATTGATAATAGGCATATACAGAAACAAAAGAAGCGTATTTAGAGAATACGGATCAACTTGAGCGAGTATCATACTGTATTCATATTCATTCAACAATTCATCTAACAAATCTTTTACCAATTGACATTCAATGTTCGATTAATGTAAGTAGAAAAATTTTCGGTTAAGTAACTATATTTTTCTTTTGAATAGAATTTGGAACAAATTTATCTTAAACCGAGTAAATTACAACTAATTACATCTGGTGGAAAAAATTCTATACTTACATTTATTGTATGTCGACTTTAAATTATTTCTTGAACCTATATATAATTGTTTGTTTCTATTTTTGATTATTTAAGATTCCATTTTACAATGAAATTGAATGGATCTCAGATCCTGTTGATTTAGGAAAAAGAAAAAGAACTGATTCTAGTGAACAAATTATTACTTTTTATAATGCTTCAGGTCCAAATAAACAACAAATTTTAGTAGGAATTAAGAATATTGAGTATTGTGGAGCTCACATTATGTTTTTTCGAAGAAAAATATTCTTAGTGTAAATTTTAAGCCAATGCTTTATAGTTCGTCCTTCATAGCACCCGAGGACAACAAGTGACAGGCACTCTTTCTAGAGTTTCTAAGCAATAAGGAAAGACGCATTAGCAAGACTTTAGTTGTTCTAGAATATTTCAAAACCTTTCTCAAAAATTAAATGGTTGAAATTCATTTGTGAGTGTCCTAAATAGCACAGTTTTTGATGTTTGTTTAGATGAAAATGTATAGACAAGATGTCATCGATAATGAATAGGCGTGTATTGATTCACCCCAGTTGTCATATGATCAATAAAAAGAAATAAAAACTGATCAATTTATAACCTTGGAAATTAATCAATATCAATGTTTCTGAGCTGATCGAGATATACAGTAATGCGTCGAGAGTCACAATAGATATAATGGATAAGTCATTTTTAGACTCAGAATCGATCGGGTCTGAGTTTGAGACTAACATGATGAACTCTAGAATAGGATAAGGATTAGAACAACTCTCTCGATCAGAATACAGAGCACGAAAAAAAAAGCTTATTCTGCACATCTTTATTATTTGCCAGTAAAATCAATAATTAAAATAATTATACGGTTAAATTAAGAAGAAAACCAGGAATACGAAAATGAAAAACAATGAGCGAAGAGCAACAAAACAAATAAAGAATAGCCTGTCAGCAAAAAAAAGAAGAATTACTTTTGCTGAAGATCGATTATTTTTGAAACATAACCATATTCTATTAGAGATTTTCCATGTAAAGTCTTTTTTTATTAATATAATAAGGCTTAAAAACAAATGTGAGTTCCACATTTTAACCACAAATTAAATTTCACTGAGAAAATTTTTCATAATAATATGCTGTATTCTATTAGCGAATGGTTCTACATGTGGATTTATTTCATGAATCATATCATTTATCATTATATGCACCATTCTGGATTGTTAATCATACTGATCTTAATCTTGAATTTCGAGTTTGTTATCGTATTTATTCTTTTTTTTTTCGTTTAATAATTTCAATTATTTTTATATTTAGATCGGTAGTGATAGAGTATTGATTAAAGATACTGAAAACTCACTTCTTGTCTGTCCGGAAAAATATAAAAGTGATACAAGTGAAAAAGTATAATCTTGATTGAATAAGCCTCACATATTTTCCTTCATGCATTCCTAGGGTCAAATTCGGTTGTATAGTATGACACAAGATGATTCAGCGAAGTATTGGTCAGAAAAGTTTTCACTTGATGTTATCAAAAGTGTAGGAATGGCTAGTTGCAAAGGACTTAATGATAAAACATACATGGTGATTAATTTTTTTAATACAGAAAAGAAATAACGAGCTTCAAAACTATACTTTATGTTATTAAACAGGATGCAAAAGTTTCTGATTCTTTAAGATCCTTAATCATAGCTTGAAATTCGATATGTCAACATCATTAAGTTGTGTTAGTTGCTTTTCTTAGTATTCATATCTAAACATGAATTCGTTTAGTCTACAACATGTTTCGTCATGTTTTATTATATTACTTTGTGAGTTATTCTCCTTTAGTTTATCATTTTTAGTTGAAAATTAATATTAAAGAAATCGTAACTAAATCAATTGAATTGAGAATATTGTTGTCACACTAGCGAATAATAGTTTTCACCAAATTATTGAAGAATTAGAACAAAAGTTTTCAATAAATTTTCTCTCTTAGGAGAGCAGTTTCCAAAACATTAATTACTTTTGAGTCAGGATTAGAGATTACGAAATTAAAAAATAAAACTGTACTAAGGCCGAGTCAACATCAGAGTTACTCAGGCTATGACTGAAACCGGAATCGGAAAAAAACATGGTCCAGTACATCTCTAGTTCGAACAATGTGCAGCATATAGACCCTAATGAATTATGAATATACTGACAAGAGCTAATGCTGCTAGTTTATAGAACTGCTCTTTTTACTGTATTTGTTTCTCAAAAGCCATAGTTCCTTGAGAAATATTGAAAAAACTGACTTTCGAATATCGACTTGATATTTTTCGCAAGCCTAAACTTACAAGATAATAGTTCATTGCGAAAGCTTCAGATCATTTCATCATTCCTATCTAAAGATACAGCTATGATAAAAGCGTATCTTTTATATCGTTCATATGATTTTGATTTTCTTATTTTAGGATAGGAGCAACTTAAAAGACCTGCAATTTTCACAGCAAACTATTCTGTTTAAGAGATCTATCGATATACAAAATATCAAGTCGAATTTCAAAAATCATGTTTTCGAATGTTCCTGAGACGAACTAGGAAGTTATACTAAAAATTAGAGTATCTCGACAACAACAGTCGTACATCAGTTAGGAGATTTTCTTCGTTAGCACCCATGCATTATATATTAGATTAAAGTTCGATATTTTTTGTATTGTGTGTGAGTTAAAATGAACTCATTCATTTTTTGTATAGATTTGTGTTGATATAACAACAAGTTCCTTTGGTTTAACAAAAATTGTTGCATTATCACCAGCTATGGTTATTATTAATCAATCTTCAGTACGATGACTTAATTCTTTATTTCATGTAAAATCTTTTTCTCTCTTTAGATTCCTATTGAAATCGTTGAAACTTTAATGGGTAAAGAACAAGGTCAATGGACTTTCGTGGAATGTGATGGAGTATGTATCAATTTATAGATATATAAACTTGTTTTATTATCGATCTATATACATATACATATAGATTATTCCTTTTTGGCCACAAAATCCTAAAGAAGGTTTAATACGTGTTCGTTATGCACATAATCAAAAGAAATCGAAAGCATTTTCAATGAATAAAAAACATCATACATTACTCTATATGAATGATGACGAACGTTTAGTTATTTTTGTAGAAGTTATTGCTACTGATTTTGATGGTGTTCGAGTAATTTTTAGTGATTATAAACAAGGTGATGCACCCGTATTACTTATAAATCATACACATGATCAATTAATTTCGTTTGTTCAAAAAGATGATGTGTAAGTCAACTTTCTTTTTCTTTCCAAAATGTCTCAATGTTAAAAAAATTTTTTTTTTGTTATTATAGAAGAGCTCAATATTTAGTACCAAAATATTTTGTCTATTATACATGGATGAATCCTTTAAAACCACGTGAGATGATTGTCACTTGCAATGACAAATCGAAAACAATTGAACTTAATGTAAGTTAATAGTTTTCCTTGTAGTAGAATTTCACTCATGTTTTTTGGAACTCGAATTATGTTTTTCGAAGGAGAATATAGCTAGTGTGGGGTTCTAAGTCGAGGTTTTGCAGCTTTCATCTCATGATGATCGGAAGAAGAAGACCACTAGTCATCGGATATATTTCTATAGTAGTTAAGAACAGCAAGCGTCAGATTCTTTTTTTTTTCAGAACTTCTAAGTAACGGGAATGCATTGTATATAATTGTGTGTGGAGACCTGCTATATATAATGAATTATGTACAGAAGGCTCATTTGTCAGTTAAATCAATGATTAAAATTATAATAACTTTAAATTAAAAAAAGAATGAAATACGAAAAAATGAAACACAACGAGCTAATAACAACAAAGCAAATAAAAAATAACGAGCTAGAAATAAGAAAAAATTCTTTTCGAAATGCACACATAAATAAGACAAATTGTTTTGTCGGTGATTGATTAACCCAATCATCCTTTTCAATCTAGTATAAGATTTGTATCTTTGAGAATTAGTGAATGATTTCATGATTATTACATATTGAAATGTATCTGAAAATTTAATAAAAATACTACATTCGTTCAAATCAATGTGAATATATTGTTAAACTTCATTATCTTCTATCTTCATGGCAATTAGAAACCAAGCAACATTTGCACATAGACCCATAATAAGCACAATACAATTTTAGTTCGAGTTTTTTTAAAATACGTTAAAAAATTGGAAATATATGTATGTAAAACATATATCAATATTGTTTTGACAGTTTGTGTAACACTTAGTATTGCTGAAGATTTTTTGCATGTTACAGTGTATCTTAAACAAGAATATGCTAGAAAAAAAAATGATTACTTTTATTAAAAACCAATTCTCTATATTATTTCCAGCATTATAAATATTGAGATATTCTGTTTTTTTTTCTATAGCCTCATCGAGGTGATCTTGCTATAACTGAAAACCATGGTACTGTCAATTATATTGTATTTATTGATGGTGTACAAACTGTATTACTTTTCTCGTACGATGAACAAATTATTGCAGCTGCATTAAATGTATGTATTACAATGAATAGAATTCTTGAAATATTTGTTCAAAAATTATATAATGTCATAAACGTTTATTGTGAATAATTAAAAATTTAATTCTTTACTAGTAAAAAAAAATTAGAAACGATAGTTTTCCTTGTCCTCTTGTTTCAGAATTTGATTCTTCTCTCTAGACGTATTTAATTATAGTATTTCAATTAGGGAACTGTGCAATCCAGATCGGGTTACAAAAGTTTACCTTTTCTCGGGTACGTATTCACAAAAACGTGAATTCACAGCACCTTAATTTCGATCTTAACTAAAGATATGAGATCGAACATCTATCAGTGAATGTCAATGTGTGGTTTTCGCGAACTGTTTACTAAAACTGTACATCGCTAATCAAAAAAAGATGTAGAAATACAAAGCTAATAATTAGGACTACTAACTCTTCCCACAAACCGCAAATCAATAATGTCTCGTTGTAATGTATAAACTACTTTTTTTTATTGTATTTCTGGAGAATTAAGTAAAAGAATGGTAAAGAACTGTGTCCTAAAATAGATAGAATCAAAATAATCTCTCTGTAATAAGCAAGCGCAACTGTGTCGTGTTTAATATTATAATCCTGTAGGGATCGCGCTAACAGTCTTTTATAATGAAAGTCTACTGCTTTGATCACTGCCTGAGAAATTACAAGAGAATATATTCAACTGTCGGAAGCCATTCGATTTTCATTATAGCTACGAGTGAATATCGTTGAGACTAAAAAGGCATTTTCGAAGAATCCAAAACAAAGAGTATCCAGCTGGAACTATTTCTATATATGCGTTTGATAGTTATTAGATAATCCTGAAAGTTTCAATAAGAATAGAGATGTTTTTCTCGAGTTTTTCAATATCTAAAAACACAACGGTTCACACAGAACTATCTAATGACCTTCCAATACACCGATAAACATCGTTTCATCCCGACAATTCTTATTTTAGATTTTTCAAAAATTACTTGTTCTCAGTAAAAACTTCATTAAGACAGTCATAAATCCTTTCACCAGTACGTCATAGCGTCGTATGCTTTTAAGCTTTTCTTAGTCTCATCGAGACATCCTCGTAACCATAATGCAAAGTTGAATGGCATCCGACAATTGGATACATTTTTCTCTTGTTAGAATATTTTATCAATAATTAAACAAGAGAATCAAATCATTGAAGAGTATTCGATCATTAAATCTTATTTATTAAACTTTATCTTAGATGGAAACATATTACAGTACATACTTCGAAAAGACCTTTTATAAAGTGATATTTTGTTTGATTTTATCCGCTATAGATACCATCTCCAACTCAATCCATCTGTCGACGTCTTCAACTTGGTATTTCTGATGTTGGTCTATCAATTGTAAATGATGTACAGCGAGAAGAACTTCTTTATATTAGTTTAAAAAAGTCAAAACTTCTTTGGGTTCAAATAAGAAAATCTCGAGTGAAACCATTTTCACATGATATCCACACACATTTAGAAGAGTTATATAAAATACATCTACAACTAATAGAAACAAATCCAAATGATGAAACTTTTCGTCGAACGAAATATCAAATACCTGAATATCATGTATGTTTCTTATTATGTATTAGTTATTATTCTTTTGTTTTCTTTTTATGAATTTCTCTTTACATTGAATAGGAAGTTACGTTTTATGATAATGCTGCTGAATTAATCAATAAAAAAGGTGAACATAAATTAGCTAAACGACAACCACTTCATGGATTATGGATTGAATATACATGGTCGATGACTAATGCAGCATTGTATGCTTGTATTAATCATATTCAAATTGATAATCAACTAGACTCTACCAATTTTCCAAGTCTTCTCTATCCAATATTATCTAAAACAGCAGACTCTGATATTAGTAAGAGATAAATTAAAATTAAATAAAAATCTGTTTTTTTTTTGTCTTTTCTTTTATTCTAGCTGAAAAACCATTTATTGAATTGAGTATTTATGAATCGAAAACATCACAATCAAATATAATGCATTTTCAGTAAGTTATTTACCATAAATGAATATTCAAACATATAAACATAAATTGACAATTTAGATATTGCAAATTACTTATTCAAGAATTTGTACTTCGAATTGATCAAGGTTTAATTTTAGCTATTCTTACTTTCCTTAGAAAAGAAAAGGTTTGTTTTATCTCTGTACAATTTTTATTCTATCGAGAATATTTAGTCATTTGTTCATTTTGCTTTGTGGATTTAATATACAAATGAAATGAATCTTTACAAAAACCGTTCTCCTAGTATAGTTACATTTGATTAAAAAACAGAAAGATTGATCAATGTGAAAAGTGGCTCCTTCGAGAAATTTAATTTCTTCTATGTCAACTATCGCAGAAAATAAGATCTCATAGAAATAGTCAATGGACATCACATATACATTGAATTCAACTGTTCATAATAATAAACATAGTTTATTTGTTGATTTCATAAATCACCAGACTATTTTCATATAGCTCAATAGCATTTTTCAAGCGCTTCAAAATGAAACAAGAATATCGAATAGAAAACAATAGTCAAGTAAAAAAATTTCAAGGAGACTATTCTTCAGACATGATTTTATGGATTTTTAAGCTTAATATTTAGTCAATTTCGTTTATAAAAATACAATTTGAAATAAGAACTAATATGACATTTTAAATCAGCATGTAAAACTGAGTGAAATTTCATGTATTCCAAAAATATTCGTAATCTTTTTTTTTTCTTCAAAAAATTCACTCCTGATATCCCTCAGGATTGCGTCAAGAAAATGAATTCCATGATAACTTGACTTTTATTGTTTATTCATATGGTTTTTAGAGTTCAACTGTCATTCCATCTTCTTAAAACTTCATTTACACTTTCAAAATAACTTTTCAATAAAATCAAATTTTTCATTAAATTCTGAGGTGGACCAGAAATGACTTTTTCGACAAAAAAAGAGATCGCAAAAATTTTTGAAATATATCTAAGTCTACTCCGTTTTCGATATTGATTTAGAATACTATAATACATTTTTTTCAAATTGTATTTTAATAATCGAAACCTACGAAACATCAGGCAAAAAAAATTGAAATACTTGAAAATTAACCAAACCGATAGTAACATTGAATGTTGTTGACACACAAATTCACTGAACAATCTGGGCAATACTTGAAATTAGAGCAGATCAGGGCTATGTGCTTTATGTGAAGTTAATGAAAAGTACTATCAAGCCATGTGAATACTAATTTGGTTGGCCTTCGGATCGATAATTAAAGAGAGCTGACCGTTCTTAACAGTCAGGAATACTGTACCCACGACGGACATTTACCATTTCGATCAGCCGGAACACAGCACAAATAAGTGTTATGGGTCTAATTCTACCAAGGATCACTTTGAGACACCTTGAGTGAGAGCTTGATATGGCAGAAATCATTTTTCTGTAGAAGTCTGATTGCATCGGTTGTTTAGCTCCTTCTGTTCTCAATGAAATGAACGACTGATTGATATATTTTCTAATTGGATATTATTACAGAATACAATGACACCAATGATCAATATGGATACTGATTTAGAACATATTCAGAAGTCTCTTCAAGCTATTATTAAAGTACAAACTGATACTCCAATGGGTGAAACACGAATGTACTTTGATAACATTCACTTATCACCACTTAAAGTACCTATTTAAAAATCATACAAACTTTTTTTAACTTAATCTTTCCACCATACGATAGATTCATGTTAGTTTTTCAATGCACGGATCAAAACCGAAGGAAGAATTGTTTGCTGAATATCCGCTTGTTGGATTTCTTTTGCGAACATTGAATGTCGCTGAAGTAAAAGATGTTATTCTTAGGTAAGAATCTTGTTTAAGGTTGGCCCATCAAATTTACTTTTCTTGGATGAATACTTAGATTGGGTTTCTATGAAAGATCATTCGATCGATTCACTGTAACGAAGTTAAAAAATGAAGTGTCAGCACATTATCAAAATCAATTTTTTAAACAAATTCATGTTCTTATACTCGGTTTGGATGTATTAGGTAATCCACTTGGTATCATTCGAGGTATAGCTGAAGGAGTTGAATCATTATTTTATGAGCCATACAAAGTCAGTTGTACTGATTTTTGATTTTTATGTATTATTTGATTGAAACATATCTAGGGTGCAATCGAAGGTCCACTAGAGTTTGCTGAAGGTATGGCTACTGGTGTTTTAACATTGGTCGGTTCAACTGTTGGCACTGCTGCTGGTGCAGTTTCAAGAATTACAGGTGTAATTGGAAAAAGTTTAGCAACACTTACATTTGATGACGAATACAAAGCTTCACGTATTCGTCGTAGAGAACCAGAAGTCAATGCGGTTACAGATATTGCTGCTGGTGGAAAAAATGTAGTCATGGTACGTTTACATCAACATATATTCATTTATAATATATGTTCAGTTTTACAATATACATTATCTTCTTGAGATGTTAGTTGATCTACTTCTGAAGGCAATAACAAAAAATATGTACAAGCTTTGATGATAAGAATCAAAATGTAGATTGACCGACTTTTCCGCACAAAATGAATTTTTTTCTGTTCTTGCTACCTCAAAGTAGGTGTTAAACAACTGCAGCCACAGTCACACTCACACCTGACTCTTAACCATTAACTTAACAGAATCAAAGCATTTCTCATGTAAGTGTCGGCGCGGTAGTGTCACGTGCAAAATGCTGTGCAAGGAAGTGCCGTGGCATGGCCTTGTTTATTAACTATATTCCCATCTTTGATTCTGCAATGCACTAGTCAGGGAATCTTAATCGCAAAGTCTGTGAATTTCGTCTCAATGAGAAAGTTTATCAAAGTTTTTAAGATGATTTTAATTTTAAATAGATCTCAGTTACATAATTATCTTAAAATATTGATTTCTATTTAATGTATATTAATAGGGGTTTGTCCATGGTGTAACTGGTGTTGTTACAAAACCAGTAACTGGTGCAATGCGTGGTGGTGCATCAGGTTTGGTGAAAGGTTTAGGAAAAGGTTTATTAGGTCTTGTAGCACAGCCCACTGGTGGTATTGTGGATTTTGCCAGTACTTCACTTGATTTAGTTAAACGGTACAATAAGAAATGACAGTTACATCGAACAAGAATGCCTTTTCGTGTATTTTTTGTAGTACGGCTACACAAGAAAAAGTTGTTCGCCGTGTTCGATATCCACGGCATGTTGGTCGTGATGGTCTAGTTCGTCCATATATTCCTCATGAAGCGATGGGTTTATATATTTTAAATGTAAAACAAAAAATATCTTATGTAGACTGTCTTTCATTAGTTCTTTTCTAACTTTAGCGACTTGAAAATAGACAATATGCAAAAACGGATACCTATGTTGCTCATATTATATGTTCAGAAAACCCATTGAGTTGGCTCATGGCTACTTCAAAGTAAAGTTCTTTTGTTTATTTTTGTTTTTCAAGACTTCTATGAAATTTAGTTTTTTTATTTTAGACGTATTTTATTTATTACAGAGATTTCATTGCTTGGTATTTATGAGGTTGATTGGAAAATGAGTTATGTAGACCTACAAGAAATACCCGTTATCATATCTGATAAAAAGGCAATTCAAATATTACTGAAAGTACGGAAACAGTAGCATAATGAAACAAAATTTTATGTGAACTTGAAAAAAAACACTAAAGATTTATATTAAAGGTATCCCCTTTCTGTAACACAAAAGCTTTTTTACGGCTATTGTATAGTCTGAAATAGTATCTATCTACTGAGTAACTCTTGGGATTCAAAGATTGCCGGTAGATGTTAAAAAATTCGAAAAGAAATCAAACTTACGTAACCGAAATAGCAACTCACGTTCTTTTCAAACCAAATTTTTTATTAAAAAAGTTCAGAAACATGTTCCTTTTCTATGACATAGTAAGTCAAATCCAGCTGGAACTTTTCCCCATGTATAATGTACTGTTTACGATGGGTATTAGTTTTTGTTTCAAAAAATGTTGTTCTAAGGTTATTTGACATCTCTTACAAAAATAGTAGTATTCAAAACAATCATTCGTTTTTAGAGTATGTCTGACATTTAGACATTATTATTTGAAAGATAGAACATAAAAAAGTGCCCATTGTCAAAAGTGTCTAGTGTCTGTTTAAAAATATTCAGTTCGATCGAACATGGTATCTTGGTAAAATGGAAGACTTATTTTTCACCATTGTGACCTCTTTATCTTATAAGGAGAGAACATCTGAGAACTTTAAATCTATGACAAATATTGCTCTATTCGTCAAGATCTACTTGTTCTGATAATTACAAATTTTTCTGATGAGTCAGTCTCCAGAGGATGAAGAAAAGAGTATGCTCGTGATTCTTTTTTGAAAGACTTTTTGACAAGTTCTTAATGGAAGATTGTTTCTCAAATATAAAAATGAATTCACTTTTTTCATTTTTAATATAAGCCTCATAACACTGGTGCATTTGATGCAAATCGATTATCTGGAAAATTGGTTAAATATCGAAATATTGATGAAGCTCGAGTAAGTTTTTTAATTCAGTTTTCTTTTCATGTTTGCCCTTTTTGCGTTCATTATAGTACTTCGTAGACAAAGCTACAAATGCAATGCATTCCATTGGACTATAATGAATCATATTTATATATTATACATCTAGATCATCATTTTTATAAAGACTTAATATGTCTATATAATATTTGTCTATAATCAAGAAGGAAACATTGGAAACTTCAGGCTTGAAGTTTGCTGATCCTCTTCGCGTACGATTGCACTATGATTCATTTTTACTAGTCTTTTTTTTTCATCAATAAATATACGTTTTTTTTATATTCGTCAAATTGATATGTAAATGTTCGGACTTCAATGTCGAATAAAAATAACGGATGAGTCGAAAATTTTAAAACATTTTGAAAGTATTTTCCATGAGTTTAAATCGATCGAATAGATCTAAAATTTAGTGCACTTTTCAAATGTGATCTTTGAAAATTTGTCTTCATTTTTGCTCGAAACTAGTAAGATACTCCACGAAATTTTCAACCAAATGTGTGGCACAAAGTTTCTGGGACAAATATTTTCTCATTCTGACCTGCTTAAAAGTATCTTAGGCAGATCAAAAAGTATGAATGATGATTAGACTTTCGTATTCTTCTTCAATATCGATTTAGAAATATTGTATTTCTTTTTTTTCCGAGAGTAGATAAGAGAGTTTCAAAGACCTTCAAAATTAGATTGAATGGTCATGAAATAGGTTTATGCCAATCCTATTAGTGCCTTGTCGAAAGTACTAAAAAAGTATCAGAGTCGGCTGTTTTATCAAGTAAACATTTCTTTACAATAATTGATATTGAACTAATGAGAAAATCTCACCAGGTAACAAATCGCTTTTTTACCGGAGCGATGTCTATTTGATAAGTACTAGTGAGTCATAGAAAAGTCCAGAATGGTTTGGTTTTTAGAGCCAACGTTCTCAAGATATTAAAATTTAACCAGACTTTTTTAACAAAAAGCCGTGGTACTTCTTAGGTCATGTGAAAAAGCGACTTTCCTGGTATTGACTTCAAACTTTGCACGAACAAAGTCTTTGAGAACGGATTTTTTTTGGCCATGAAAAATTGGTTCCTCAATCAGTTGATTGTATTTCGCTCAAAATGATTATATAAAAGCTAGAGGATAATAGATCAAGAAAAGCGAGGGTGCTGTCATGAAGTTAGTGTATAGTAGCAGAAAGAAAGAAGAGTATATGAGAAGGATCTATACGACAGAAAGAAAGAGAAAAAGTATATGCATGAGACGATAGATGAGACGACCTTTTACCTTACAGGTTATAAAACTTTAATGGAAGACAAACATTTTCTCTATTGGAAAATAGGTAAGACAACGTATGTCCCACCGTTCTCAAAGGATTAAGCCGTTGATGACAAATTAAACTGATTATTTATATACTTAATACTTTAGTCCTATATATAACGGTTTTTAAAATCCTACATAAACTCTCATTTCTACTCCTTCAACCATTATTTGTATGTTGAATTATTTTTCTCTTTATCTGATTCTTTATCTCTATATTTACGGCTATATGCTTGTCTAAACCATTATGGCTAACATACTCTGAATCTATATCTAATGTCTTATGTCTGTGCCTCATTTCTTCACGGATACCTTTTCTAATGTTTATGTATTTATCGATCAGCTGCATGTATTCACCTATATCAGTGTTCATACTAGTGAATCGATCGACTCGGACACTTGAATGTCTACTCTTACTACTTAGGTCTGTTAGTCTTTCTGTGTTAAATTGAACAACTGTTGTGCTCTTTAAATTAATTCGAAGCCGTCGAAAGTCAAGTGAAGTCAAATGGAATATACTCGAATGGTGGGAATCCGCTTGGTAAACAAGCATTATATCATACGAAAAAGCTTTATCAATTGTTTGCGTCCATGAGGTGAAATAATTAACGTCATGAAAGCTATTTAGCATACAGAAACTATGTTTCTGTCGACAAAATGCTTGAGTTTTAATGATTTATCGGGAAATTTTCGATAGGTATATACTCGATACTTGTCTTATTGCTCCCCGATGTAGCTTCACATAGAAAAATATGAAATCTCAATGCGCTAATGACATATGCAAACACAATTGCAAAGTGAATGATAAATACTAAAATATAGAAAAAATTTATATGG